TGCTGGGGTGTCGGCCATACGTCGGAGCCAAACTAGTGCCGATCCACTCAGTCGACCATGGGCTACAAAACCGCACTAGTCTCAAGTTGGCAACACCTCAAGAAAAAAACCCCTAGAAGTTGATATGCTTTCACAATTCACGCAATTTTACTTTCGCGCTTCACTATTGTTTCGTTTGGTAAATTCATCCATCTCATCACTTATAGAATAGAAAATTACATACAAGATGTATACAAGACTTTATAAAGTGTACAGTGTATAAGTTTCAAACGTTTTATTGATTTTTATCTTTCTTCTCAATGGTAATTATCCAAGAGAATCAAGCAGATACAATCGTTAAAAATCCAAATCATCAGTGTTCTTCTTTCATTACTTTTATCCATTGAAAAGGAAAACTGTGACAAACATTGGAAAACTGGTATGTTCGCAACGAAAAATTTTGAAGAGCTGTGTGTGGTTCTATTTTGTAGAAGGCGATCTTGGAGATCTTCTCGTACGTAGACATTTTGAAAACTTCGGGAATCAGGTAAGGAGCGAGCTTTCAACAATATGAATTTATTCACATGTCGAATACTAAGCATGTTCGTTGTTTTCGGACAGTAACTTAGAACGACATCTGTTTTTGAAGAGAATTATTTACTCTATCTTCTGTATTTTCAGAAAAACGTTTTCATGATCAGGAAAATCTATTTAAAAAAATGTTGTAACGCTTTTTTATACAATTAGAAACACCTGTTGCACATTTGTTAACCGTTTTCTCACATCGTAAGAATTCAAAGAAGCATGTCGCATATAACATCTGAACAGTAGCCAAACAATATAAAGATCGTGTAGCCAAAGATGCTTCACCACACGCGTAGTACAGACGGATATTCCTCAATTTAATGGAAATAATCGGCGCATCTACATATTTGAAGCATTACTTGGCACAGACTTTGTAAATCAAAACGTCATGAATTATTGTTGGCTATAGAAAGATATCTCAATTATACACGTGAATGAACACGTGTACGGCAAATACACACCTATCTCGTTCTATTCATGAATATACTACTCATAAGAAAATTGTCTACTGATTCTATCAACCCTAACTTGTATCTTTAGGACCACAAGTAATCAAATTTACAGAAGCGTATATATAATGACAAAAAATACCTTCTAACTATTGTTTGAATGCGACACTAGAGTAAAGTAGGACATTATATAACGTTTTTTATTTTCAATTTTTTTCTTATATTAAATACGAACGCTGCATGTGTGTGACTCACGACGAAGAATAAGAAAAGAGAAAAACGTTGATAGTATATAAGTGCAACAACAGAACGAGCAAATGACAGAAAAATCAAGAAAGTGTCACATCATTGTGAGACTGTGTTTTTGGATATGTTGATAGAGATTGTACCAGGTTGACCTATGAAAAAACGATTAAGAATAGAAGATTATCGCTTGTGGTGATTAGTATGTACACGTCGACTATTTCAAACGATCAAGAGGAGAGAGAAAACGGACAACTAAATTGAGTCACATTCATGTCTTCTTGATTTTTCTGTCATTTACTCGTTCTGTTATCGCATTCATATACTGTCAACATTTTTCTCTTTTCTTCTTCTTCTTTGTCATGAGTCATACACATGCAACGTTCGTATTTAATATGAAGAAAATAGTGGAAAAAATACTTTGTAAAAACAGTTACTCAGTTATATAATGTCGTACTTTACTCAATGTCACATTCGAACAATAGTTAGAGTGGTATTTTTTGCCAGTAAATACGCTTCTGTAGATCTGATTATTTGTGGTCCTAAAGGTACAAGTTAGAGTTGATAGAATCAGTAGGCAATTTTCTTATGAGCAGTATATTCATGAATAGAATGAGACAGATGTGTATCTGTTCTAGGCAGACATTTTTTGTTCTAATTTGTGCTCTGCTGGATCGGGACAGAAATAGTTAAAGAGAACAACTGCGCTTCATCGACGGTAAAACCTGAGTGCATGGAAGATTGGAGTACCCAAGTTGTGAACAGTTTTCTTCAATACTGATCTTCTTATTCATTCTTTTTCACTGTATCTGAAAGTGTTACAAATTGATTAGTCTAGTTTATCTAAGATTCTTGCTCGTTCTCTAAGAAATGGCAAGGATATGGGTGATTGAGAGAGTCTGTTGCATATTCAGAAGAACGAGCAACTGCATCATGTAACAGCCAGCTTTCATGTTGACCGCTTGTCATTTTTTCAGACTTCGACGTTGTACAATGTCTGCCGAAGATATCCCAGCGTCCGTATTATCAGATGTTCTATGGTTAAAAGTGATCAATGAAGGTGTGGAAGATCGTGTGGAAGTTAATCAACGAATGTTGATAGATAAGATGCTCGCTCGTTATTCATCCGATTTTGTTGTCTATCGTGAATTAATTCAAAATTCTGATGATGCTCAAGCTACTTCATTTCACCTCGAAATTACATGCGATACTTCCAGTACTGCTGCAAACTTTGTACATATCAGCAAAGAGCAACTAGTCAATGATCAACAACAACCGACTAATGTTTTCGAAGGCATCGGACAGTTAATTCGCAATCATTGGGGAACTATTAAAGCGAGTCCGACCTTAGAAAGAAATGATCCTCCTCTGTTCAGCACACCCGCCCATACCTCACCCATATCCGAGATCGACTTTCACAACAGTTTAATTACTGAAATTCGCACTGTGAACAATGGTGCTACTTTTACCGAAGTCGATTGGAAACGTGTAGCGACGATTGCTGAAGGGAATACCAATGCAGATGCAATTGGTCAATTTGGCGTCGGTTTCTTCTCAGTCTTTGCCTATTCCGAACGACCAATGATTCAATCTGGTAAACATTGCATGGCTTTTGTTTGGCAAAATGGAAAATCATTGACAACATTTCGTAAAGAACTCTCGATTGACGAACAATCGCCAACCACTTCAATTATTCTCAAAATGCGAAATAAATACATTTTGCAGACAAAATCAACACTGGAAATGAATGGAATGATCAAGACAGAGAATATAAATGGAAAACTCAATGGAACAAAGAAAACAAAGAAAAATGACACAACAAATGGAATCGTTCCGACCATGGATTTAACTCAACTAAAAGCTTATTTTACCAAAGGTACAGAAATATTTTTTTTCTTTTTTTCTTTTTCTATTTTCTGTCTTTTTTCGGTAGTACTCTCATTCACAAAATATATCAATGAACTTGTCATTAAAATCAATGGTTTGATCGTATTTCAAGCGAATAAAGCTAAGAAATCAGTACCATCAACCAAAACAGCATCGGCCTTTAAAAAACTTTATTCAACGAACGAACACCATTTGCTTCGTTTCGATTCTTTCGTTCAAACTGAACAAACATTTACTATTGCTCATGGGCCATCGATTACTCTGAATCATGTCGATGTGCAAGCATCGGTAGTTATCGACAAAGAATTTCACGATCAAATTCGACGTGTTCTTAAGAAAAGCCTACCACCTACTGTTCATATTCAGCTTTTATTTCCATCGAATAATGTAAGTTCGAAATAATTGATATTTGGTAATTGGTCATGTTCTCCTTTTTTTTTGAAGATTCTCGACGAACAAAATAGGCATTTGTTGGCAAACGATGATCTCAATAGTCGAATTCTCAAATCATTGATTCCACTCAAATTTCATAATGATCAAATTATACCCTCCGGTCAAGTATTTATCGGTCTCGCTACTCATCAGTCAACCGGTATCGGCATGCATGTTTTCAGTCATTTGATTCCGACTATTGAACGGGAAAATCTTGATCTACAAGATCCATACATTACCATATGGAATGAGGAGCTTCTCGTCTCTATTGGAAAAATTGCTCGATTCGTCTATAATCAAGCTATTCTCGATGGTGTCAATACACCATCACAGGAAACAAATCAACATTTCGATGCGATTCTGGCGCCGTATGCCTTTCAAACATCGGTACCGAACAAAGAAATTGGTTCGTATAAAATTTCATTTCCATCAATAGAAATTTGTATTTTGTTTTTTTATAGGTCGCTTACTTGTCGACGGATTTTTTTCCTCGAAGAATGATATTCTCGTTCCAGTCAAAAGATCACCATCCGAACTTCAACTTTCACTTGTCCCATCTAGTCAAGCCTTTCTAGCCAATTCCAAATACATTCACGCATTTCTTCCAGTTTCACTCGTTCCATTTGATATTGGCAAAAATGATTTTTTCAAAATATTGAAAAAACATCGATTAATCGATGAAATCGATCTTGCTACTATCCTAGCCCAATTGCACGAATCCATTCTGTTATCGAACGAATTTATTGGATTACTTCGTTGGTTATGTAGCAATGAAATCAACAATAAATCTTATGTAAAAGAAATTCTTTCCATAGTCCGTTTTCGTGAAACGATTCAATCGCCTATTATAAAATTGGAAAAACTCGAATTCTACGATATTTTCAATCTTCCCTCTATTCTTCCTTTACCGTCAAATGTTTTACCAGCCAATATTGCCGGTCATTTGTCTCGCGAAGAATTGCAGAAACGATTATCATTGTCAGTATTGTTAATTAAAACTCTAGTTCATTTTTATCTTCACGAAAATCAACAACATCTATTTCGCAATGAGATTACAGCTACGATTCTGCTCAGTTTCATTTCACAACGTTGGAATCAATTGAATGATTCGGAATGGACTATAATCAAAACGATACTGTCAAATATTAGATGTATACCGACTAGTCAAGGTATGAAATTACCCAACGAATCGTATATTCGCTCGTCGAATCTATCGGCCGATCTATCGATTATTTCACTCTACGTGCCACAAACTACGATCAATGAGAATGGAGCAAAGAATGACAATGGGTCGACGGACAATCCAGTCTCGATTGAATTCCTCAAATATATTGGATGTCGTACGATCCATGTACCAACATTGGCGAATACGCAAACAACTCATTCGACTTTACCATCTGCCAGTCCTCAAACTATTCAAATGTTTATTGAAGAGTTGTTGAAGCAAAGAAAGAATATGAGCGATGGAGATCTCACTGCTCTAAAACAAAGTGAATGTCTAATAGGTCAGTTAGAAGCGAACTAGGCAGACAGCTGACTAACAAACTGGATGCTTCGATCCTTGTTTGTTGAGTCCAAAAATCAGGGAGCCTTTCCTGGAATATTCTGCAATTCATTTCATGACGTTTTGCTACTCACAGGTTGAACAAGTTAGAGGCTTTTGTTGTTAGAGTATGATCAGAAAGAAATGCGAGGGCCTCAGAGACATGTCTACCGTATTGAAACGAAAGAAGCTACAAATATCGACCATGAGCTGCTGAAAAGAAAGACATTTTTGACATATCATAGGCAGCTTGTCGGAAAACCGACTTGCAAAGTGAATAAGAGCTAAAATTTCTTTTTTTGTTCTTAGTAGTCTAGTTTGAAAGAACTCATAAAAAAACTAAGAAATCCAAGATATCTCACCTTAGTATACTAAGGTGAGATATCTTGAACTTCTTAGTTTTTGGATGAGTTCTTTCAAACTAGACTACGAAGAACAAAAAAAGAAATTTTAGCTCCGGCCAGTGTGGTCGGTATTCACACGGTCTGTCTCTTAAGAGCGACGCCGTGAGAAAATCGAGAATGCTGTAAAAAGACGATAAAACTATAAAATATAAATAATAAATACTTTTTAAATACGATTTTCGCATTCGTCTTCCAAAGTTATCTATGAATCCAAGTTTTTAGCCTTAGAAAATTTTTCATCGTTAAGAAAAAAAAACGTTAAAAGAGTAGCAACAACTTTTCTTCTAAAATTGAAGAATCGTATTTCGTGTTCTTTTAATTGTAGTGACATTATGATACATTTGATTTTCTTAAATTATACATCATTCGAACGAGCATAAAAGGCTCAACAAAATCTGATATTCCTCAGATCTTAAGTAAATTTTTCGTTGCTAAAACAAGTACCACTGATATCAGTATATTCATGAAAATTGTTTTAAACATGATTTTCATTTGTATAAAGTCATCTTTCAGCATCAGTAGATCAAAGCATGTTAAGAAAGCCGTTTAGGACTAGGTAGAATATTAAGTGGGGTTAGAAAATAAGTAGTAAATAATTGTATTAATGTTTTATAATTCTATTAAAAAGAAATGACTGTGCTATTTTTCCAATAACTTTTGATAGAAAGCGGCTAGAGAGCTCGAATTTTTGGCAATCGAAAGAGGAGACTGAGAGACATGACTCCATAAACAGAATTTTTCGTTTTTAGAAAGAATTTAAATAACTAGTGAAAACGAAGTTTTACGAAAATTAGGCTTTTCAGACTCTTTTCACATAACATTAAAAAATTCAGCATTCACTGAGAAACTTTCAGAATGAGTTAGAAACAACAGGATGTATAATACTTAGACTATTTTATATTTTAGTTATAAGAAATCTACTAAAAAACATTCACAAAACCCTTTGGTTTTCCGCAAAAGTTTCTAGAAACCCTTAAAGCAAAATATGGTTTCTATCTATTTTTACCTATATCCCGTATGGTTTCGAGACTTTATTCTAACTTAAGAAGACAGAAAATTTTCTGTTCTACAAAATCCTATAACGCACACGTGCACTGCGTTGTTTAGCTAGTCCTTTTCCTGCTTTTTTCCAAATCTCACATTATCCGAAAGTACAGATTAACTTGTGCACTGAAAACTTCACGTAGTCTGGATGATAGCGCACAATCCGCTGAACATTTCTATACCCACTTCTTCTCTCAATTACTACATTATTTTTCGAAAAGTTACACAAAAACGAAAAGCCATTAAAATTTTGATAGGAAATCGCAGTTACACTTTTTACCTGTTAGTACTCTGCACTATTTTTTAAAATAATGAAAGAAGTTGATGGATTTTGTAGAGCAGAAAATTCTCTATCGAATGAGTTTAGAATGGAATCTTCGAACCTAGGTTGTACTCGAAAGAAAAGAGAACAAAAGTGCGTGATTATTTCAGGCCCACCAGTTATAGGTAACTGTGATAGAAGAATCCGAAAATTGTCTTAAAAAAGATTTATTTTTTGAAGATTTTATCGATTTTCTCGAAGCGCTCACAAATTGTTTCTTCAACAAGTGATGTCTCCTCGCGCGAATCTGCTTATTTCTAATATTGAACACACAGAGATATTGGATCGAAGGTATTTACCAAAGTATAACTGACGCAAAATGAAAATATGATACGAAGAAACCAGAATAAAGCAGATTAGAGTTTTCCTTCTACACGTATGTCGTCATTTGCATTATCTGTATAGGAACGACGCTAACATCGAGCAAGGAAGCAGCACGCAAACACGTCCCTTGTGATCTTCATTTTCCATCGGTTGCCAGTCGTCTACAATGGCCAACTTTGCACATCATTGATTGGTATGATATCGATCCACATTCACGTGAATATGCTTTTCTCAAAGAGATTGGCGTTCGTGAAGTACCCGAATTGTACAAACTTATTGATCGCATTGTTCAAGAACATAATGATGGACCGAAGGCTAGAAACGAATACAAGCTACCAATTGCACTTGGTTTTCTGGCTGAAAACTTCCAGTTGTACTATTCGAAACTTTGGAAAACGGCCAACATCAGACGCGCCTTCCTTCCATCCTACTGTCCGGATGTGAACACGGAAGTAGCACTCTCAACATCAGACTTCGTTTTCAAAGGTTTGATGCCTATAGTTTTGTTTCCGCGATGTCATTTTCGCTCTTTGATATTTTAGAGCCAAGTTCATTATGTCCTACTCTTCTACCGGAAGTGATTCAATTGTTTGCCCATCACTTTGATATTGCACTACTCGGTGTGAAACAACGCCCTACTCTGGCAATGGCTTTTGACATTCTGATAGCCAGAAAGGATGAATTGTTAACCGTCGAATCTGCTCCAAAATTCTTTGCCTATTTCAATCGACTAGATGGTCTCAATCGTGCGTTTGTCGAGCGCATCGCCAACCTTTCTTTCATCCCTTTAACAGGTTCGTTAATAAAAAATTTGATCAATTACAAAAAGTCAAATGTTCATCTTTTAGGCAGTAATCACTTCGTGAAACCATCTCAAGTATTCATTCGTTCGAAAAGTCCAGCGGTCATAGTATCTCAGGAGAACAATGCTCAACTCGTAGACGATGCAGACACACGTGGCCTAATTGACTATATTGATTATGGATCCGAGGCTAATTCATTTCTTCTCGGCATCGGTGTCCTTCACTATCCGTCGGCAGAGAATCTGGCCAATTTGCTTATCGATCGACAAGCGACTTATTTTGCCCGTACAAACGATGACGCAGGCGAAATATTATCGACTAAACTTCGTATTTACATCAATTGTCTCAAACAACTCGCCACCGTGTCTAATTTGGCACAACAATTAAATGCCGAACCACTGAGCAGTCGTCTGAGGGGTAATCCTTGGTGTGTGGGGTTTCAGACAATTGACCGATCGGACGGCGGCAAAGATCGCATTTTCAAAATAGCCAAACCGAGCGATATTTATCTTGATGATGACCATCAATGTGCTATTGATCTTCGGCCACTATGTGCTCCGGACGAGCCCGAATTGACTAAATTATACGAACGATTCGGATCGAAATGGCTGTCTGAAAGTGTTAAACGTACTTTGGTACATGGAGGTAAGTACTAGGATCGGATTACGACAATTTGCAACAATAGGCGCTGCGTCTTTTAGGTAAATATACTACGACAGATCGAAGCGGTAAATTGCGTGATTTAATTCACCATCGTTTAGACATGTTATTTGTGAACAATCGAGTGAGTAATGTCTTTGTCAAAAGATCGATTCTAAGTGCCTCTCTCTTCTAGGGAGAAAGAATGAGTAATGTTGATGGAAAACGTGTCGAGTTACTGCGCACAAAACTTTCCGTCTACGAAGCCGAAGGTATTCAATGTCAACTGACATTTCAAAATAAGACAGTCACTCTCAATGTAAGAATCTTGATTTGTCCTTCATACGACGTAAATATTTTTTCTCAATTCTAGTCAACTGAATGTAGTTCGTGTGCACTCGAACACGACAGAAACAAAGTGGCATTGTACTTGCACAAAGAGCTGCCTGCTTTCGATTACGTCGACATCGCTAGTGAACTGACGCGATTTGTATTCAAAAAACCACTGGATGCTGTCGTTCACGCTATTAGTGATAAGCTCGCCTCACCCTTGGAAACACTCAAACGAAGGGGCATTCCTGTAGATAGATTGCTAAAGACTATAGAACAGCAACGTAAGTGAACTTCGTATTATACAGCTTGTTAGCAGTGAAAGAAGAAAAATTCAATCTCTATGTTTAGCGGTTGTACCGACCCTGCAAATAGAACACACAAAACAAAATGAGCCGCCAACACAAAAAATACAGCAGCAGAATCAACAACAGCAGCAACAGTACCAGCAGCAGAACCAACAACAACCGTACCAGTACCAGCAACAGCAACAGCAGTATCAACAATACGAACAGCAGCCTCTACGCGGCCTTTTCCAAAGCTTAAAAGAGTAAGGAATCAATCTCACTGATCGTCAGGTTGACAGGGAGATCAGTCATAGGAAAATATTGACATCAAATAGCATCTTGCTGCCTTTCTCCTCTTCCTACTTTTTCACGTTTAAATTATTTCGAGTTGACTAATGAATGATCGCAGTATTTCAATCTGTTTATATTTTTTCTAGTTTCTATATACGGCCGGTTGTTCGGAGCACTCTCATTCTAATGATTACCATCTAACGAAAGAACACTTCGGGTACAAAATCGTTTTTGGCTAATGAGGAACCTCTTGTGGTGATTAAAAGCTTTTAGACTCAGACTATTTTCATCATGTAGGGAATAGTCAATAGTGAAAAATCCCAAGTTGGTTTGGGCCCATGCGCCTTTTTGACGGAGATATGAGTTAATTAATGAAAATAC